ACGAGTGATGGTTGAATGACGACTGTTCATGATTCTACTTCTTTCATACTTAGTGTTTCATATATTCAATGGGGCACTTGCGATTTTTACACGCCGAATCGCTGACTCTGACACAAGCCTTAGCCATTTCATAACAACACCTCATATAGTGAAGAGGATTCGAACCGGACCCAAGTATTGCACAGATATCAAAGCGGCAGGTTACTTAAGGCGAGATTGTGCAGCAGTAAGGAATGTAATAAGTTGCTTCAAAAGAAATAACTCCAAGTTAAGTCTGAAGAAGAGTTAAAACACTAATCATAGTCCCTCTACCACACTCGCTACTAATTTGACGTGTCGATTTGTCAGTACGTCGGTTTGAATTGTTTGTCGGTACGTGTGCCTGTTCTCTTGATAAGAGACTGATAGGAGAAACTAAACCCAAAAACTGTGCTGTAGTGATGATGTTATTGTGACTAAATCCATCCAGCTAAATACACAAGTACACTTGGTACAGTTTCTCCTGGATAGAGTACAACATGAGGGCACATTCACCGGATCAGATTGGTGCGACACTTTTCACTAGGTCGTCCAAAACAACGACTTTAGAGGTGAATGGGTGCTGGCAGGTAGCTTGAGCATGCTAATAAGTATTTGCGCAAAACTAGTGCGGGGGCGTGCCCTATTCCGATCACGGTTGGCGAGCAATGTATGAGTGACGTGACCAGACGATGCAAGAATCCACAGATAAGCCTAGTTCTAGAAAGACTGTGCGGTGCGTGATCAACTCATCTTCCCGCGCCTGAAACATTCGTAAAGCGAGCACACCGCCGGACTAGCTTGACCAGTGCTTTTGTTTGGTATTTTTGGCCTAATCGAATATAGCAGCGAAGTGCCAAAAGGCCACCTACGTTGGCCCGAGTCATCAGCTTACTTGACAAATTTCGGTTCAAAAAGAGTCGATTGTGAGGTGTTGCACATCTTTGTCTGCGAATTCTAATAACGAGTTCTCCTAATTCCTTAGTAGTATTATCGCAGAGCAAAAAAATATTTACGTTAACCGCTATTTTGCTCAGTCCGCTAATCAACCATAATTACAGTTTTAAAAGTACTGCGGTAATTTCTCTTGTCGGAATGTCAGAAACAAACTCACTTGGTAAACTCTGTAGCATCGAAAGCAGCGAACTTGATACTTCGGTTGTATAGCTGTGGAAGTGCATTGAAATACGGAGCGATTCGAGCGCTGAAGGGACAGGTTGGCGAGTAGAACAAACTGCAAGAATGTTGTAAATGGATGTTAAGTTCGGTGTATTAAAACTTAAAAATAAATGAGATGGAACTAGTCGAGCGATATACAGAAAGGTTACTAGGAAAAACTGTGCTAAGGGATCTTTCTAACAAAGAATGATGAAAAACGCAAAGGATGATACATAAAGCATTCGTTTTAGATACGACCCAAGGATCCACACACATCCAAAATCCATTTTGCAACTTTTTTATGCTGTGCACCATTTATTTAGAAATACGTTTCAAAGTTGGTGAAACGCATAATGATCCATTCCCTGACCTTTCGACCTCCAACTCCCTTATTCCCTCTCTGAATGAGATATTTGCACTATCATCGTCTTTTATGCTGATGTCAGAGTACCCGCGATCCTTTGCGACGATTTTGCGATTTTCGCGATTGCGACGATTTTTGCGATTTGCGCGATTTTTGCGATTTGCGCGATTTTCGCGATTTGCGCGACGGGTCACGGAAATTACAAGTGCCCCATCCATACTGCAAGGTGTTCTCCCAATCCCGCCGTCACTTCTGCTTGATGGTTATGGTTTAATGGAGACTGCTCATGATTCCACTTGTTTCATATCCAGTGTTTCAATTGTTCAAATGGGGCACTTGCAATTTTTGTGATTGGTTTGGTTTGATTCCTGAAAAAAATAGGAACGATTCAAGAGCATTTCAATGAACTAATAGACATTGAACATGAAACAAGTAGAACCACAAACATTCGTCTTCCAATCTTTACTGCCAAGCAGAATTCGCAGCAGGATTAAACAACACCTCGCAGTATTCATCGGGCACTTCCAACTCCTGTGATCCATCGCAGGTTTCGCGAAAATCGCGCAAATCGCGCAAAGGATCGCGGACTCTGACAATCCAGCCTTGTTCGTGCTCCATCCCCATATTAGGCAATTATTAAACAAACTCTCATCTTTCTGATTCGGCTTCTGAATCCAAAGATTCTACTACGCTTAGGACATGGCGCATCGAAATGATTAGGACAATTAAACCTATGCGCAGACGATGTTGAGCAGCGTGTGTATAAAACATTTAAAGACAAACTTGGCACCGATAACAGAAGCGATGGCGAGCGCGAATTAGAATCGAGCATGGGCCGTTCGTCGGGGACTCACCACGAACTCATAGCGTAAATTTCCGCAAAAATGGCACGAAGGAAACTCACGTAATCATGCACCATGTCCTTTTGTACACATCTGTGTGGTGCAACATCTCCAGCAGTGAGCTTGCGTTCAGCACCTCAATGGTTGATAGCATCTCATCATGAGGATCTGAAATCCTTTCTGTTCTCAGAGGATACTTTCAAAATTATGGACTCCCGAATCGAAATCTATGAACAGTTGTGAGATAAAAGAATTAGAAAAATATGTTAATGACTATCTAAACTCACAAACTGGTTTGGCAACGGTATCTGAATAAGCCGTACGGGTCCATGATGGGGTCGTCACACTTGTCGTCATAATCAAGTGGACAAATTGACTGTAGTGTATGGCTGGCAAAATGGTACCATCACGATTCACAAACATGCATGCCTCATTGGTAGACAAGACTCTCACATAACTCTGAAGACCAACTGATGCAAAGAAATCAACTTCATTTTGGAATTAACAACAAATAAGCACAGTTCCATATCGGTTTTTTTGCTGAAATACTTGCTATTAAAAAAGCCGCGCGGCAGGACCGTGCTACTGCAGTGATTTTCAAATAACTTTTTTTTTTTCGATTACAGAAGTATACCAGTGAACGACATATTCGTCCACCAGGAAAAGAGTTCAATATTATGTAATGGCAAAAAAGAAATGATAAATCTGACTAAAAGAGCCTCTCGCCTATAAGTAAGTTCCAACCTGAACAGCTCCAATTCGTTATATCGGCGACAAGTTCCCCAAACAACATCAGTTGGAGTGATGGCCTCATCACCTACGACAAAACTATTTACCACGACTGCCCATAGCACTGCAATCATCGACCACGTCGAAACCTGAAAATACTAGGAAAGTATTCATAGTAGGATAACTACGGTGGGCACAACGTAAACTATCGATAAACTGGACTGTCAACCACAGATTCAGAATCTTTCGCCAAAAAATACAGTAATGGTCTCCGGTAACTCCATACTCAATCAGAGTGACAAAGTATGATGTCGGTATCAGACTTTAAAAATCCGGATTCGCCACTAGCGAATCACTGGATTCGCAAAGTCAGACACTGGCCTACTGGAGCCCTAGACGCAGAGCAATGTTTGAGTTCGAAGGTTGAACAAAGTAACAATAGCAAAATAACTCTTATTGCTACCAAAAAGCGTCAAGAAAAGTGAAGTAAAATAGAATGACGGTGCGGAAAAAAGGTGCGACTTCAATTCGACACTGCTATCTCATACGCATTATTCGAACTCCACACTGCGGCGAGAGCCCTACTGACTTCCTGTTGAGTTTCGTACCAAATTTCACACTACTGACTTTACGTTCCACGAATCTCATCAATTTTTTGACAAGACTGAAGAATTATGGACAATTTTTCCTGTATCATTAAAACATATTCCATTCGAAGTGATTAAGTGTTGTGCATTTCGCTCTGAAGAAGGCAGGAGAACCTTGCCTAGTAATTCGACACTTCATTCAGTTTTGCGAGCTGCAGCGCATATGCTGTGTCAACCTTTCCGAATCTAAGGATTCTAATCTAAGGAGGAGGAGATCCCCAGGGTGTGTGAACCATTTCGCTTCCGCTTTATGACCACCTGGAGCTTCCCTTTCATGTGGAAATTGGATTACTCCAGACGATATGAACTTTCGCACCACATGGTCCTACTGCATGAGACCCTCTATAGTTTCGAATCCTGAACATAGCGCAGCTTTAAAAGCTACAATTAAAGTTAGTTAAGGTTCTCAAGCACGAAAATGAGCACCTATGCAAAGAATCACAACAGTAAATTTCCATAAGAAAGCCTAATCTTCGTATAATGCTGAAATGTTTGAGAGAAAGGAGCTAAGCAGGAACCCACCAACAAACTCAATTCTATTGTCAATTCTTCACACACGTGCAGATAATTCAGCATTCAAAAGCCTATATAGTTGGTTATTCTCCAGGCTTTCCAGTGCCTTCCTTTTTAACTATGCTTTACTAGCGGCTATTATAAAAAAAGCACATACACCAAAAAGCTCCAGAATCAAGTCAATAGTGATGAGTCCAAGTCAAATGTGCTGCTCGATATCACACGGACCTCAATAAAACACAATGTTCCAAGTTTGTCTAGCGTTTCATCAAACACTTAATCGGTGGCAATGCACCCTAAGAAAGAAAGTTATTTATTACGCATATACCTGTCTTCGCTTCTTTATCACGTTATCAGCGTTGTTTTCCTTGTGAATGCATAGCTCTCCGCTTTTCATACAATCTATGAGAGGGCAGCCCTATTTAACCGGTGAGAAAATCGATTGCACGTGTTCATTCTTCCTTTGTTTACAACTTTCAAACTCTTCAAAGAGGTCAAGCAAGTTACATTCTGATCTAAGCACTGCTCGAACAGAGCTTAGCAACTCTGCTACTGCTTTTAGACTTACATGGCAGATTCAACATTGCTGATGCACTAATACCTCGAAACCACTTCGAAATCACTATTTCAGGAACCAATTCTACCATGAATTCACTTACTTAGGCACTCACGTCGTAAGTGGGAACATTAAAGTGAGTGAACCACTTAGAGAACCTGGACGGGCCTTCAACGGAAGGGATACTGTTGGAAAGACTCGTGACAACATTAAACTCTTTTTGCGTTCTCCCTGCGAGCGTTAGTGTCCTAATGTCACTAGCAGCGTTTTTTTTTGCCCTGTTTTTAAAGGGTTTCCTTAAGGTTTGATGACCAGCCTAATCTATGTTATAAACGAAGACTGAGAGACTGCCAGCGTTTTCAAGATCGCTCCTACCAATCATACTGTCCTTCAGATGTTCAGCAGTGCTTCGCTTTCAATAATATGCAGGCGCTGATTCGTCACTTTTGTCCGTGGGGTTAACAACATGAAGGCCTAGGGAGGAACGTGCAGTTCACAAATGATCTCATAAAGCGTCGTTAGGGTCCGGAGAATTTGAAGGGCTACTCATTGTGTTCAACGAAGGTATTAGAGTTGGTGAAACCCTGTTAGGAGCACAAGTAGGCTTTTCTGAAGTGGGGATCGGCTAGGTCTATGATGCCGACCAGGACATTTTCTGTAACTTCTTTGGCTGTTCTATGAGACCCTTCAAATTTGTACCATTCAAAAAACGACGCCATTGATATGCTGGGTTGAAACCGATGACCACTACCTGCGCGTCGCATGCGGACCTTTCGGAAAACTTCTGCAGAACTGTTTAAAGCTTAAATGAGTTCATTCTGGAACCACTGTTTTTTTTGGATTTCTTATCCTATACTTCTAAGGATGAATTCTAACTTGTAAGTGATTGCACGATCACCGTTTCCTCTTCTAGGGACACAATGTTGTACCTGAGAGCAAAGTCCGTAACAGATTAACACGTACTCACCAAACGGCAGTGTCGCTAAGCGGTCCATTCAGTATACATCACACGAAAAAAAAACTCATTTCGTCGCTCCAATAATTCAGCGCTCTTTTCTAGGCTATATTGGGATTAATAATCGCTCTAGGCGAATAATTTTAAAATATTCTTTTTTTGCCACAAACATATTTAATACACTACCATGATCGATTTACTGATTACTTGCAATAATTGATTACGAACGAAAAGGAGAAATATAAGAACGAAAACTCACACTAGTGTATACTCGAGATCCGTAAGTTGGGGTAGGCGTGTCACCGGAAGTGACGTGTACTTGATAGAATCTATGTGGATAAGGTGCTTCCAATATATCGCGAGATATCAGCAAAGCATGCTGGCAGCGACTTACCTACGCAACTTCTATCAAGTCCACGTCACTTCCGGTGACACGCCTACCCCAACTTTCGGATCTCGACTGTATGTGGAATGGATGAGATGTAAAACGACCATTGTGCAATTGCAGACGGAAAAGCTGCCGTAATCTTACGCCTAATTTTATTTTATCGACAGCTTCTGTGGGACCAATTCTTCAACATTTGGTTCATTTGCCGTGTAGCCAGGAATCATCGTCAACATTATATCAGTAGCGTTCTACATGCCACGGCAGAAAACTCACGTCCACAATGTGGTTTTTCCCGAATTTCTCCGTGAATTCTTCGTTACTTGAGGAGCGCTATTTGGTTGTTTTAAGCAGTGATAAGAGAAAGGATTGCTGTGCTGTGCAGGTTCCTAGACATTAGACGCCCGGGTAGGCTTGAAAGCTTTTTGCGTGCCCGGGTGATACGAAGGCGAGAGGCGAATTCGCTGCGTACCTCAATTGCTTGCAGCCAGCCGCCCTCGTTGTTGAAGCCGTTGTTGTCATTTGCATAACTCATGCACTTTTTGTTTGTGAAGAACGTGTTTCAATCGAAGATCGTTGTAATCTTTTTGGTGCTTGACACTGAATAAACATGATCTATAGGAGCCATTTGGCTAGCACTGAGAACTAAGATCAGACGAATTGAGGCAACCGGAAGCACTGTCATTTTTCGAACCGGCTGCGGTCTGTCTCTTAAACTAGCCGCTATGAAATTGTCAAGTTATTCACTCCTGTTTGTCGTCCCTTATAAAAAATTTGATACTGTGTTAACTTTTCTCTCCGACCTTTTATGGCATTTTGCTAACTTGGGCTACTCCTTCAATTTGCTAGGTGGTAGCTGCTCGACAAGGGCTGAATTACAATTACATTAGCGCTATCACAAGATACGGGACACATTTTCTTGGACCAAGCCTATCCCTTCGAGCAGGAAGTTTGGGGAAAGTGAAACTTGCTCACGCAACATGGAGTCTCTCCTCCCCTGAAGCCTGAGATTTATTTCCGTTTTTAACAAAAAGAGGGTGTTTAACGCGATTTTAACGATCTGTTGCCACCACCATGCTTCGGATCTTGGATAGCGCCATAATATTAATTGTTATGGTCTTTTTCCGGCGGCTGTTCTGGTCCTGACAGCATCATTGGTTTTGAATATTCTCGCATAATGAACGGAAGAAGTATATGGTTTCCAACGATCATATCACAGGAATTGATTAGAGCTTGATATCTGATTAATGATCTGGTGCGCTAGTTACAGCTGCCACGAATGGCGCCGATGAGCCTCAACTCGAGGGCGGAAGTGACAGCCGGGTGTACCGTGCCACGGTTCCTCGAGTGGGAGATTCAATGTGTTCCCTCCCACTGGAGGGACCGTCATAGGGACCGGTATTCGGCTTTCTGAGGGGGAGCTGATTATGGTTGCATCTGCAGTGGTTGAGGAGGCGTGGGATAAAAATTTCTAGGGTTCAATTGTTAAAGTGTAACTTTCAAAATTGACGGAAATGTACGGAATTTAAAATAAAAATTGCCAAAATTTTCTAGTAAAGGGAGGTTCCTCGTATCGCACGGCTGTGGGCTCGAGAATCGCACCATTTTTGTCGCAAATCAGGCCATTTCATCTCACTTGCACTGGAAGCATTCTCGTTAGGAGGTGTCGGTTCGCATCAGTTGGAAAAGGCGAAGAGATTCTCATGCCGTTTGAAACTCTCACTGATGTGGTTGAGCTCAAGCCGGAATATTCAACCATTTATTACTGTTGAGTCTGTTGCCATAGAACACCATTGCAGCGCTTTTTGTCAGATATAAGTGGCATCTGAGCTTGTCGTGTAGAAATCCTGGGAATTTTACTAACCTTCCTATCTGTTTAAAGCTTTACACATTCAATAATTGTATTAAATAATTGTTACAGCTAAGATTTTACTGGTTATTCACCAACAGTAGTAGCATAGTTCAACCCATATGTGTGGCGTCCATTGATATCAAAACAAGTTATTATATTGAAATCTTTTCTCTAGCTACTCGTGAAAATGGTCACAAAAACTTGGTCTGTTGTAATGCTTGATCGCAACAGCCTGCGAGAAAGAAGTTTACATCCTTAGAGGTTGTCTCGATGGGTGGAGGTGGAACAGGGACTGGCATGTGATACATGCGTCAAGGAGGAGTTTTTGTATCCAGTTTCGATCCCCCTCCACGAAGATGCTCAATACGAGATTTAATCGACCCATAGCTTGTCCTGGTGGCGTGGTATCGCGACCATTCCAGACTTGCAAAGCCTACCATTCCCTTTGATTAGACGTCATACAAACCAGGATACGCAGTCAAGTCAACCACGACTCTGAACGGAAGTCAAATGCATGGCGCATCCCAAAAAGGTCCTCCACCTTCGCACATTTTTTGATTTTTCATTCATCATTTGATTTCCCTTTTTATTCATATTTATTTATTTTTATGTATTTTATTTATTTGTTACTTTCCTTGGCGCTCATCCAGTAAGGGGGCATCAAGTGGCTGGCTGCCCCCCCCCCCCCCCCTAGACTGCCTACACTCCCCCTGGCGCACAGGTTTCTCGAAGTACGGGACCCCGTGAGCCAGGGGGAGTGAAGCCAGTCTAGGGGGTGGGGGTGAGGGCAGCTATTGACGTTGCATCACAATGCCCCCCCCCCTTACCGGATGAGCGCCCTTCTTTAGTTCTTCATGCTTTTGAGTTTGGTGTAATATTTATTTTGATAAAAAACTTGTTCTCTTCAGGGCTGCATGCAGCAATCTATTACATTTAAAGTATTCCTGGACTGGTCGAAGAGAACAACATTCGTGATCTTCCCAGCCTTTTTTCGATAGATTTATAAATTACTTGATGCGCGGTAGCAGCAGGCGACTCCAACCGTTTTGATTGACAACAAAGATCCATGCACTCCGCGCTGCTTTTTAAAGCAATAATAGGTTCCTAATCAGACCCTGTTTCGCTTGGCCTTGATACTTCTCTATCTAAACTCGGTCAAATTTTCTGGAATGATCCTCTGCTGAAAGCATTAGAGTTGCAAGTCTTTGAGTGAAATTCTAAGGCCGCACATATTCTCAACGTTTGCCTCCAAGCTGTTGTTAATGAATACTTAACGCTTAAGTACTTGGATCACAATCAGAATGTCTCTCTGCATTAGCTGTGCCCTGTCTACAAGCCTATTCTATTTCATAAACAAATGATTTTTGAAGGCAGGATCGGCCTTTCGCAATGTTCTCGCCGGGTTCGCTAGCGCGGGTTTCACAACTGGTGGCTAAAGGTACGGTTTCTAAAAGTTACCTCTTCCTAATTCCCCATGTGATGTTTGTCATTTCAAGAAAATGTGCGAATGTACAACAGCACAAGGAACGCCTTGAAAATCAACAAGGATACGAAGGTCATCATTCAAGGGTTCACCGGGAAGCAAGTGAGTGCCGCTTCACTAGTCATTTTCAAAATGGTCTCAGTTGTTTTCCAGGAGTTGTTTCATTGATGCGATTTCCGTTGACTACTCAATGTTTAGGGAACGTTCCATGGAAAGCAGATGCTTGAATATGGAACGAAGGTTGTAGGAGGAGTGAATGTCAAAAAGGCTGGCGAAAAACACATGGGTTTGCCGGTGTTCCGCGATGTTAAAGAAGTAAGTGGTGCTCTATTTCAGTTATGTTATAGTTATAGTCGTGTTGTGGTGGGGTTTTTCGGGAGACTTCATCAACGATTTTGCTAGCACATATGTGTCCTTTTACAGTATGATAACTAGAATTTTGAGTGCCATCAGAAGTGAGACCCTAAGTTTCCGAATGTGCAATGCGTTTTCCCTTCTGTCTGGGCACTTCCGTTATTTTGAGCAGTTGTTACTGGTTTTTTATGGTGAAAGGCATTTGCAGGGTGCTTGTCAAGGTGTAAACCTGTGAGAAAACTATGTTGTGATCAAACATTTTATACCATAGAACCTATGGGAGTTATGCGATTTCCGCTATTTTACAGAGAATTCCCACAAAATCGATATGACATCATCAAAAATGTATGGTCTCCTCCATCGTTTTCGTGCCGCACGAGGTGTGTTGCATCGGTCATAGGGAGCTCCTTTTACTCAGGGAAAATGCGCTGCTCCAATCGTAAATTTATTGATCTCTGGAGTAATTAGTGGAAGGATTCTTTATTTTCCGAAGAACAACCGAAGAGTAATCCTCCCACGTTGCATTATTGCTTGTTTGTCAAATGTTTATTTGTTTGTTCGATCACGAAATAATTTTAGTGATCAGGGTTTTCACGTAGAGCAAGCAAGTGGCTATGGTCTAAAGTGGTAGAATTCATTTTTAGGCTCGTGAAAAGACAGGAGCTCATGCATCCGTGATCTACGTACCCGCTCCCTTCGCGGCTGGCGCCATTGACGAAGCGATTGACGCTGAAATTCCTCTCGTCGTATGTATAACCGAGGGAATCCCACAGCAAGTATGGTTTCAATCCTTCTTACAGTTTGCAGATGTTTTTACTACAACACTAACTGAAGTTCATGAGCTTTATCAAGATATACAGACCTGTTCCAATTTAATTATGTGCATATCTTTGCATTCAATATTCACGTTTGCAAGTGCTTTTCTAGCCTTATATTCAATCAAGCCTTTTCCACTGCACAATGGCAGATTTTAGGGGTTTCGATGTGCATATTCTTGCCTCATTTAGCTCACCATCAATTTTGGGGCTCTTTATTCCTCTCCATTGAAGGATCACAATTACCTTTCTCGACTGGGATAAGATCTATTCGCACAGACCCATGAC